GGGTTTCTCCTTTAGTCCCTGCTTGGGCTGTTAAGGCAGGAATCCCAGCTGGTAATTATTACCTGCTTATTACTATTATCATGACTGTTAGAGCTTAATTAGCTGCCCTAAAGGCTGTCTGGGGATGGGATATGAAGGACGAGAGAGGAGATAACCACCCCAACACTCCCCAGGGATCCTTAGGATATCTGAGTCTGACAGCCCTGCACACAACCCCTCCATGGCTCTTACATCACTCAGGATGGAGCCCACTCCTCAGCCAGGTGGTAGAGGCTCCACACCCTTCTTCCTCCTGTGACCTTTCACCCTTACCCTCTCTGAGCCTTGGTTTCCCAGCTCCCTACTGCCCCAGGACCTTTGTATGTAGTATGCACTCTGGTGATTCCTTGACCCAGTGCAAAAGTGTGTCCTCAGAGAGGCCCCTCCCACTCACCTTGTTTTCATTATATCCTTGAACTATCCAGAATGATGGAGTGGATCATAAGTCTCCAGAAAACAAGAACCTTGTCTATCCTGGGCCTGGTAGTTCCCCAGCTCCCTGCACAGGGCCTACCTAGCATACAGTTGGTGCAGGATGTTAAAGGAGAACACTGCCTGCCCCTGTGGCAGTCTCTGGCCTTGGTTTGTGTGACTGGCCTGTGGGCAGGAGCAAACCCCTCCTCCCCTCCCCAGCTCCCTTTCTCACCCGGCCCTGCTCCTAATGCCTTTGGAGCAAGAAGGCTAAGAGGGAGTCTCTGATTTTGAGCAAGAGGCCTGGACTGGCCTGGCAGGCGGAGGGCCAGACGCATCGGTGTGTGTTTGTGTGCACAGTTGTCTACCTGTGCCTGTGTGTGTTCATGTGTGGAGCAGGATACCATGTGTGTATGCATATGTCTGTTTCCAGGCATGTGGGTCTCTGTGCCCTCCATGCCCTCTGTGTCCTCTTGGGTCCCAGCCTGGGCAAAAAGGACCCTGGTGGAAGGGAATACAGACGCAACCTGTAGCCAGCCCTGGGACCCCTCTCTGGGTCAAGATTGGAGAGGGTGTCATGCTTCTCTCCAAGGCAAGAGGATGATTGGGCAGCCTAGGGAGGAGGCTCCACCCTGACCTTGAGTCTTGACCTTAATAGGTAGGTGGCTATCTAGTGAACCGTGGGCAGAGTCAGCCTGAGCTGAAAGAATGACCAGCAGACAGGCCTTGAGAAATGGAGGCATAGGGAGGCAAAGGCAGGTTACCGCTCTGAGTCCCAGTTTCATCTTCATGAAAATGAAATCCTACCTACCTCATGGAGTATTGTGATTTTTATTGGATTTGCAGAAATAGTATGGGCTCAATAAATGTTCTCTGTCATTGTTTTACTTTATTATTATGCAGCCAAACTGCAGGGTCTGGAGTTCCCTTAGCCTGGAGTGCCCTTCCTTAACCTCCAGGCAAACTCCTACTCATCCTTCAAAACCCCCTTTCAATCTTCCTTCTTCCAAGATGCCTTCTTTAACTATGCCCCTGGGGACTTCCCTAGACCCCTTCCATCTATCTGAGCCCTGTCCACCATTTGTGTCTGGCTCTATATGCCCCAAACAGGGGAAGGTTCTTGAGCTGGGTGGGGAGGGTTCTTGGCTTCTAAGTGTAGGGTATGGCCTTTGGCAGACTTTGCCAGCTCCACTTTCTAAGGCTTGACTCCCTACCCCCAGTCTGCTCTTCAGTGCACTTACTATTCCCTCTGACCTAATGCCCTTCTGCATCCTCTCCTTCCAGCCAGGGAGCCCTCTGGGACACCCCAGCTTTGCCCCTCCATTTGGGCCAGCCCTGACCCCACAGAGCTGGGAAGAGGGGCTGTGTCCAGATCTGTCCCTGAGACCCATGGGGGCTTCTCCGGCAGGTCAAGGAGGCCCTAAATCCATCAACTAGCCCTATGCAATGAACTAGGTATAATCCCATTACTTCATTCCACATATATTGATTGAGCACCTACTGTGAGCCCAGTGATGGGGACACACATAAATGTCACAAACAATCCCACCCACCCAGCACAAGATCTGAAGGAAGAAGGTCACAAACACAGCTTTGAGGAGAATAAATGGTGCCTCTTTCATGGAGGGTAAAGGGGGGTATTTTAGCATTGGGTAATCTGGGAGAGGCATCCCTAGGAGGTGATGCTGAATGAAGGAACAAGTCAGAGTCAAGGGCAGAGTGTCCCAGTGGGAAGAGCAAGTGCAAAGGCCCTGGGGCAGAAGCCAATTGGCCACATTGATGGAGGGCAGAGAAAGGTGGGGCTGGACTGGGGGAGCCAGGAAGGAGAGAGAAAAGGAAAGTGAAGGTGGCAGGGTCTCCACCAAAACTGGGGTGGCTGGTATTCCAAGGACTTTTGTTCCTCACCACATTTTCACCTTTATTCTCCCAGCAGCTTCGAGTCCAGAAGCAGCGTCCAGAAGGGGCCCACGACCTGCTCAGAGTCACAGCCCAAAGCTGACTAGAATTAGGCTGCCCCCCCCCTTTCCCAACAGAAGCTGAACCTGACCCCCACCCCCATCACCCCGGGCTCTGGCCTCTGCCTAACGCGGAGAGATCTGCTTTTTTGTTTAAAGCAACCTGCAACTCTTAATGTTTAGTCTTTATTTGAAGACCCAAAAACCTAAAATCTACTGTATAAAACGGAAAGCCCCAAAGGAAGAGAATAAAGGAGTTAAGCACGAAGCTGAAAGGGGTGAGGTGGAGGGTCCTTCCGGGGGTGAGGCTTGCCAGGGATGGCCCGAGCACCCAGGACCTCGCGGGTCTGGGTGCGGCTAGTAGGGGCAGCCCCTCCGAGCTTAGGCTCCACGGGCTGCAGAGGGCGCGGATGGCTGAGACCTGGTGGTAGGACCCCGCAGGGCGACCAGAGGAGGGGCGCGGGCCTTGGGTTGGGGGCGCGTCTGGCCCCGCCGCATTCCTGAGGATCGGGTTACCCGCAAAGACTGCGGCCCCTCCCTCCCCTCCTGCCCCACTTCCGCCCTAGCCCGGAGCCCGACGGGCAGCCACCTCCGCGGTCCTGTGCAGGTGTTTCTCTGGCCTTAGGGAGGGGCCGGGCTCTGACCTTTGCGCTGGCACTGACTTTTTCTGTCTCACAAGACCATTTTGCAATTCACGTGCCGTCAGCCCCCTTCAGCAAGGATGGACCAGAGTGATACCTGGCAGAGCCGGCTTTATGATTGGTGGCCCTAATGACCACTCTCCGAGGCTGTGG